GGCAAATCATTGCCAACAAATTAGCATGGATAAGCCTACTGACATCATAGTTAAGTTGTACTTAAAGGAAACTGCATGTACTGTACGAACATCAGAAACTTGTCTGATCAGATGATCTCCCCCACCACCCCACCCATGTCAATGCAAGAAATTTTACTTGGACCATAATAAATGACCTGAAATATAGAAGCTGCCGTACTAGTCCCTCCAGCCACATCCTGGTAATTCTAAGGTGTCAGGTAGAAATCTTTCACAGTATCTGACCTAGTCCAGAGGTGAGATTCAGCCATTTTCGGGCAAACCGAAAAAAATTTTGTTCACCCCACCCGCACGCTTGCTCCACCCCGTCCAGTCACTCCTCATCTGGCCTCCCTGACATAGCTGTTGCTTCTATTTGGTTCCTCACTTGCATTGACCACACAGTCTCTGCAGACCAGCCAACTTGCCTGCCTTCCAACACAGTGCCTGCGGTCCAACTGAGTGGCCCTGATCTGCCTGGGAGCCTGCGAGCAACTCCCGAATCCCGAACACCTACAGCTTGCCTACCTTTGCCGTGGCGGCTGTATCCCATGTGGCCCTCACCCCATGGCCCAACTGAGCAGCCCTGATTGGCCTGGGTAAGCCTGCAAGTCATGGTCTAGTTACCTGCCTTCCACTGTCCCATGCCACGTGGCATGGCCAGTTTGCCCTTCTTCACTGCTGCAGCTGCATCCCAACTGATGCAGCCCTGATCAGCCTGTGAGCAACTCCCAAATCCCAAATGCCTCCAGCTTGTGGACTACTACATGGCCCAACCTGCTTGCCTGCCTTCCATGCAGCCTACTATGCAGCACCTGCAGCCCAGCCCACTTACCTGCCTTTTAGGCAGGCCACCTGATCTCTGCATGGGCAACTGGGTGTGTGGCTGACACTTGGCTTCCAGTGGAGAGAGCGGGGAACAGTGGTGGATTTCAAATTTTTTTACTACTGGTTCTTTCGGTGTGGGTTGGTGGGCGTGGCATGGCTTGGTGGGCGTGGCATGGCTTGGTGGGCATGGCAGGGGAAGGATACTGTAAAATGAGTGTGGTGGCACGACAGCTTCCCCGGCACCTGGATGAAGCTATCTATCTGGACCCGTACCAGTCGGGCTTCAGGCAGGGGTACAGCACAGAAACGGCATTGATCGCATTGATGGATGATCTCTGGAGGGCTCAGGACAGGGGTTGCTCCTCTGTCCTGGTCCTATTAGATCTCTTAGTGGCTTTTGATACCATCGACCATGGTATTATGCTGCAGCGGTTGAGGGGGTTAGGAATAGGGGGCACCGTACTGCGGTGGTTCTCCTCCTTCCTCTCCGATCGGTCGCAGTTTGTGTTGGCAGGGGGGCAGAGGTTGACTTCAAGGCGCCTCGCATGGGGAGTGCCACAAGGGTCGGTTCTCTCGCCCCTTCTGTTCAACATTTATGTGAAGCCGCTGGGTGAAATCATCCGTGGTTTTGGGGTGAGAGTCCATCAGTATGCTGATGACACTCAGCTGTACAGCTCCACCCCAGACCACCCCAACGATGCCCTTGATGTGATGTCTCGCTGGCTGGAGGCCATATGGGTCTGGATGGGGAGAAATAGGCTCAGACTCAACCCTTCCAAGACCGAGTGGCTGTGGCTTCCAGCGTCCCGATATAGTCAGCTGGTGCCATCGCTGACTATTGGGGGTGAATCTCTGCCTCCCACAGAGAGGGCTCGCAATCTGGGCATCCTCCTGGATGCACGGCTGTCTTTAGAAGAGCATATGACGGCCGTGGCCAGGGGGGCTTTTTATCAGGTTCGCCTGATTCGCCAGTTGCGGCCCTTTCTGGACCGGGACATCTTGCGCACGGTCACTCACACCCTTGTCACCTCCCAGCTGGACTATTTGTAATGCTCTCTACATGGGGCTCCCCTTGAAGAGCACTCAGAGGCTCCAACTGATCCAGAATGCGGCCACAGGAGTGGTTATGGGCGCAACTCGTGCCCACATGACACCCCTCCTGCGCGAGCTGCACTGGCTTCCAGTGGTCTTCCGGGTGTGATTCAAGGTGCTGGTTACCACCTTTAAAGCGCTCCATGGCATAGGACCCAGGTACCTTCGAGACCGACTTCTGCCACCAATAGCCTCCCACCGGCCAGTCCACTTCCACAGAGAGGGTCTCCTCAGGGTGCCATCAGCCAAGTTATATTGGCTGGCGACACCCAGGGGGAGGGCCTTCTCTGTGGGAGCCCTTGCCCTGTGGAATGAACTGCCCCCGGAAATACGTAAGATCTCTGACCTCCGTGTATTTCGCTGTGCCCTCAAGACTCTGCTGTTCTGCCAGGCTGGGCTATCAATGTAATGATTTTAAATTAGGTATTTTAAATTTGGGGGGTTTTAAATTTGAGCCAAAACTATTTAAATAATTTTAATTATTTTTAATTGATGTTTGTCTTTGTGCTTTTAATAGGCTGTACATGGTCCTGAGTCCTCCAGGAGAAGGGCGGTATAGAAATAAAAAATTATAATAATAATAAAAAATAAAAAAATCTCCATTCCCATCCCATTCCAGGGGAAGGCTACTGTAAAATCTCCATTCCCTCCCGATCAGCTGGCACTTGGGAGGCAGAGAATAGATGGGGGCAGGGCCAGTCAGAATTTTTACTACTGGTTCTCTGAAGTACTCAAAATTTCCGCTACCGGTTCTCCAGAACTGGTCAGAACCTGCTGAAATTCACCTCTGGAGGGGAAGGGAAGTGGCTGGACTGCTGCCTTTCATTGGGGCATGTGGAGCAAGATGGAACTCTTCTTGGTGTCTCTTCCCTCCCCCGGGTCACTGGGCATGGAGGGCTTCCTGCCCCTCACTTAGCCCCTCACTTAGCCACTGCCCCCTTTTTGGATGCAATTTGGGAGTGTGGCAGGTGGGGTGGGAGAGGCAGTTTCCAGGCAGCTTTTGCTATGCCTTTTGGTGGAAGCCGTCAAAGAAGTTTTTGTGAGCAGAAGAGAATGCTTCACCCATCATCACCCAGGCTCTTGTTTTTCTTTGCCCTACCTGATTTCCAGCTCCATCACATTTCTCCATCGCGTTTCTCACTGTCCTGTACAGGGAAACAAAAGTTTGTGGGACTTTTAAAAACTTCAATCAATCAATTCTAACTTCTCGCAAAAGAAAAAGGTCTTGTGAAGTTGGAATTGGTTGATTGAAGGGTTTTTTTTTAATTCCAAAAGCTTATTTCCCTGCACAAAATGGCGAGAAATGTGATGGAAAATGTGACAGAGGGGAAATCAGGTAGGCAAAGAAATGCTTGGGGGAAGTAAGGGCCTGGGCGGTGATGGGTGGGGCAAGCTCCATGACATGGTGCTGCAATGGAGAAAAGGTCAACAGAGCAGCCAGTGTGAGAGAAGGAAGCCGCTTTTTTTCTTTCCCTGCTGCTCATCTTTCCCTTGAGCTTGCTACTCCCTTTCTCCTTTTTCTATTGAGCACAGTGCCCAGGATCCTCTTTGATAGCGGGGAATTTAAAAACCAGGCTCGCACCAGACAGAGTAAAAAGGGCCTGATCTTTACATAGGAGGAGGAGAAGGTTTTTCGGCACATGAACATTGCTCAGGCACTCCCCTTGCCACCTGTTTCTGTCTGTTCATGACAGAGTAACTTCTCCTTCACTGGGCTTTAACCAAGGGGAATCAGCCAGAGCAGGGAGCGGGGGAAGCCTTGCACAAAAACGCAGAGGCCGGGGCGGTGAGTTGGCAATGGAAGAGGGGTGGCCCGGGTTTATTGGAGAGATAGAATAGGCAAGAAGTGGGGCAGAGAAGAGAGCGGGGCAGCCTGTCTCCTCTTCCGCAGTTGGAAGCAGCTGAACTCTGCTTCCTCTCCTCCACATCTGCATTCTGCCTGCATTGCAACATCTAGGGGAGCTGCACCCAAGAGCTTGGCGGTGTCCCAGAGCACAAAATTGGTTTTCATTTCTTTGCATGAAAACGGGGGGGGGGGGAGTGTCCAGATGCAGACCTGCTAATGTGCGATCCCCAAAGGGCCAGATTGCAGAGTGGAGCAACCCTCTAAGCCAAAATGGCTGGTTTCCCAACTTTTTTTGAGCTTAGCCTAATGCACGAATAGAGACGCAAAGCTAGACTGGCTCCATATCTGCATGGCTGTGGTTAGGAACCCAGCCAGGGCTAGCTATCTGTCCCCAACGTGGCACTCTCCAGCAGTGAGGAGGGGCTGGGAGGAGCAGGGGTGAGTGAGGTTGAATTGGTCATGACCACCCAGTCACATGACCACCCAGCCCTGCCCACCCAGCTCGTCATTAGGGCATAGAATTGGTTGTTAAAAAATTTGAATCCCACCACTGCTCCAGTCCCTTTAATTATATATAATTGGAAATTTGAAGTTTCTATTATTTATTCCCCAAAGAAAGTAAATTTCCTTGTCAGTTATTTTGTTCATTAACAAGAATCTGGTTAGACTATAATGTACACTTTCTTGCACATTTGTCAAGTGAGCAAAGTATTATTTCATTGCTTGTATGATTAGATGTCAATTACCTTAATGTAGGTACCATATGTACTCTTGACAAATAACTTAATATAATCATCTGTATTTGGGTAATATGCTATGGATCTGTATTCTTAACAGCAGAAGGCTTTTTCTGTAGGATCTATTCACCCTTGTCATAATTATTATACTGCAGAACTTAATCTTTTAGATCAGGGGTATCAAACTGGTGGCCTGCAGGCCGGATGTGTCATGCCTATCCCAGCTCTGTGAATGGGAAAAACGTAGCAAAACATCATGTGATGGCAATGTGATGCAGTGAGTTTGACACCTGTGTTTTAGATTATAATTACTTCCGCCATACTGTCTGAAGTAGATAGGGTAAACTGAAGAGCAATGGGTTGTCCAAGATCACCCAGGGACATCATGATTATTTAAATTTGATGTAGGACAGCTAAAACACACACTGTGAAACACCTGTTTATGGTAGATGTTAAGCAAAGACTCACAAGAGACGTAATTTGTTAATATCATTTGTATTTTGAAAAGCATATCAAAAAAAGTTTTAAGTGTAACATTTTGCTTTTACAAGTTTTATTTTTGTATTGCTTATTATTCTAAGATACAAATTATTGCTTGCTAGCTCTCATAAATATGCTAAACAATGATATATACAGAAATCAAAACAATTGAACTTGTAAAAGTCTCCATTGCCAACTGTATTCTTGTTAAACCAGAGTATTTTATATATGCTGATAATGTTAGATAAGTACAAGTATGTCCCTGAGAAGTTAGGCAAATAACCTTAGCTTGGACAATCTTTCTGTTACCTATAATGCAGATTGAAAAACAATGATCTGGAGAGACTAAAATGGGAAGAATTAAACCAACCAGGGCTGCAAAAATACAAGCAACTACTAGTAGCAGCCAACAGTTTTATCTTATAGTGCCATCACAATTATCCAAACCTGTGCAGCAGAGATGTAAGTAGCCTTTTCTTTTTATCTCGAGAGTGCCTTTGTTCCTAACAATGTAAAAAGAACATAATAAATAGGCTATGCAAATAAATAGTAATTGCTACAAAGGTTAGTATTTACAACTTGTTTGCTTTTTTACAGTCATCCAAATGTTCATTTATAGCGCTCAATACACTCCAAAAGGTCTTACACTATTCTGCAACGGTGCCTTTTTGTTTGTATAGATATTTCTAGAGTTTATCTCCCCCACCCCCCACTTTTTAAAATTGCTACTTGTGCTCCTCTTATGGGGCATATAGCTTTTACAGTTTGGGGACCAAGAGTCACTTCAATTTATACTGCAATCCTATGCAAGTTTATTGAGGAACATTGTGTTCACTGGAGTTTACTCTAAAGCGTAAGATAAGACTGTATAATTTTGATTCTAATCTTCTTCTGAAGCCAGCAAGACTTGGAGTGAACATAAAAGACTCAATGCAGGGACTGTTTCTTTGTTATGACAACAGTATATCTTAACGATCTCAAGGCTGACTCAGTCATTGTCTTAACGTTGGCCTCCTTTCAGGAGTTACATGAATGTATCAGGGGTAGGATAAAATGGAGATTATATACTACATATCTGGCTTCTGTTCCAGAGTCCCCAAATTGTGGCAAATTGTGTTCTTTTTTTCCTGAACATAATCTTGGAGAGAAAATTGTTCATTTTTACAAACTACAGTCAGAATGTACTTCCACAGAAATACAATTATCTAGTTATTTAGCTCTAAAGTAATAAATGAAGTTACTGGACTAAAAAAAACTCCACTGTATAGCAGGTAATATTGCCCTAAATCAATATATTTGTTTTCCCTTGTTTTAATAAAGCTTAAATTACCTAAAGTCCAGTTGACTGCTATATAGTCTTGCATAGGTAAAATGAGACCCAAGTGATAACCATAGCTTACTCTTAGGAAATATTTGGCTCATAATTCTGAATTTGGCTAAATAATGACCAAGAGGCCACTGAAATGAAGAACTCAAGTAATGCTGCTTACAACATCTTGCACCAGATAGTCCAGCTCACGAGGTTTGAAAAATGTCCAGTTTTTGGTTTACTTCACTAAACATTAAGCTTGCTCATTAAAAGCAGTAAACAGGTTTCAGAATGATAGCAAAACAGAAAAGCCAGATTTGAATTCCTATTAATCTTTTGTAGTCTAAAGACGCAATTATATGAAGCTGTTAATGGATCTGTAAAGGCAAGACAATATCTAAAAATAAGAACCAGCCACTTCGTGTTACACATCATTAGTTTTTTAATCTACTAATTCTTCCCTGCAAATCTTACCTTTTCCAGTTACGTTTATTCTAGAACTACAAATGTAGAAATTTTATTTTATAGGTTTAAACTCAAACACTTAACAGAGGCTCATCCTAATATATGAATTAAACAAAAGCTCTAATTCTTCCCTCCAAATATACCTTTTAGTGGTTATGAAACAAAACAAATTGCAATGCCTTTTCTCAAAATGTTCAATTCCATTCCTAAAGGTGTGGTTTGTTTGTGCGCAAAGAAAGTTTATTTACAACAATTGAGACTTCTCCAACTGCAAATGCTATTTTTGTGTGTGGATAAAAATAAAGCTTATAACATATTTTTACTACAACTCCTACTGCCAAACCAAACAGTTACTCTGCAATTAACAAACATACTGCTTCTTCAGCTAAGTTGCTATAAAAAAAAACATCCTGAAAATAAATAATTTGTCTATGCTGTTTCTAATTTGTTCAACTACCTTAGAAAATAATATAATTTCTATCAAATAATTCCCAGAAGACATTGGATAACCAGTATAGTAAGTTCAGAAATGTACATTGTTCTCTTTATATTATACCTGTACAGGATTTTCAATTTTATTAAAAGCCAAATCTAATGGAAAAACATTCTACTTCATTGCAAACAAAAAGCATTCCTTATCTCTTAAAACAGATTTTGTCTGCCAACAACAGTCAATCTTCTATGAAGGATCTCGTGTAGAAAAGTTCTTGAATAAATGTGATCTAAGGCAGTACAACAAAGAAAATAATTCAGATGTTTTCAAAAGGGAGGCCTAATTTTTAACATAGCCTTTCTTGTCAATCAGTATGGTCCTGTGATACTATAAAAGTCTATTTTGTATAAAGCTGCATATAAATAGATTTTCACAGTGAAATGCATTCCATTTACAGAGTGGAATACATTCTATTTATACTGCATTTCTTAGGCAATTTCTTGAGAATACTTAATAGAGGGATAAAGAAGACATTCTGAAGAGAGGAACAAATTGCAAACATGTTTTCAAGAATGTAAGCCTAGTTTTGATATCTCAACATGAAAACTGAGGCACAAGAATTATTACACCAAAGCTTTCACTTCTAAGTCACATGTTCAAATTACATTCAAATACATTGCAACAAATATGTGATTGTCTCACATATTTGTTGCACAGGTTTTAAATCTTTCTCTTCGGAAAACTTTTTTTTTTTAAAAAAATCATAGATTACCATGATGCATCCAGAATGAATATGCTGATTAAAATAGTTATGCAAGTGTCATACAAGTTGCTAGAAAGTATTACTCGTGAAATCAAGAGTTTAGTTTTCTGTGCTCCATTAGGCTGTGATTTGACAGCATAACTCATCCTTACAGGAATGTGAATGAAAGTCTGCTGTCAGTATGAAACCCCCAAATCTTCACATACTCTCTTTTGTAATTGCCCCTTGATGAAAGAATGCTAACATATTTTTTTTTCTGACAGACTTTAAGAATCATCCATTTCATTTCCAATGAAAGTTCTGTTATGGTAGAGTCCTCCTCATCTTGTAAATTAGAATTCAATCTCAGCCTTTAACCTTGCAAGGAAAAAACAACAATATGTCTGTTTCTTAAAGTATAATTCCTCTATGGTCAGATTCATGAATTTGGCTTAATACGTTGTATGAACTTTTTTCATTTTTATTTGCAAATTATGTTTATGATTTATAAATAAGATCAGATTTAATAGCTAGTAATTATTACCACTTTAAACCTTAATAATGGCAGTGGGCAGTTACTTTCATTTTTAAAAAAAGTAATTCTGAGGATTCCACTGTAGTTTTTCGAGTTGCAAACAACAGCCCCACAATATGATAGGTTCTTCTTTACCAATTTAGTACTGTTCTGCAATAAACTTGCACCAGTCTGAAGATAAGAGTAATTAGTAATAGCACAGTGAAGTGAACAGAGAAGTAAAACAAACTATATTCATTTGAAATAAAGCTATAGGCAGGACATGCTTGCTTCTAATAGCATTCCGGTACCAAGGAAAGGACCAAAAAACTGAAGTGGTTCTAAAGTTTAAAAAGAATTACCCATAAGAAGTATTAAAGGCAGAGTGCTCTAAATTCTAATCCAGCATGAAAGCACATCATAGATTACCATAATTGATGCTGTGACATTTTGCTTTATTAGGCAGCACATTTTGAAATACTGTACAAGATGTTAAATCAAGTATTAACTATGCTTGTTTTAAATTTTACATTTTGTTAAATTCTATTGGGTATCTATATTCTAACAATTTGTCTTTCTTTAAGCTTGAAGTGGATGCCAGCACATATCTTGGGGATAGTTCATCAATACCTGCCCTACTACTTTTTTTTGGCACCACAGTCAATACTTTAGGGCAGCTTATGATTAGTGAGGTATATCCCCATGTGCCAAATTATGAACATCTTTTCTCAAAACAGTGCTGCTAGACCAGTGGTGGGTTCCTCCTGGTTCGGCCGAGCCAGTAGCGGTGATGATATAACATCACCGAACCAGTTCTCTTTCTTTGGAAGCTGGGCCCTTCCGCCCGCCCCCGCGTTATTCCTACCTTTTATTTCTTCTTTTTTAGCCCAGCTGAGAGGTGCCGCACCTCAGCTGTGCAGATTCGTAACACCCTCTTGCGATCGCAAGAGACGATTGCGCATGAAGCACGTGCACAAAGAGAACCTGTAGTAAAGCCGGTTAGAACCCACCACTGTGCTAGACCCTTATAAGGGTAGAACATTTTATTTCAATTTAACACTGAGTTGGGACTGAAAGCTATTTGAACAAAAAAAAATCAAGAAAAACAAGCTTTTCAATATGGCGAATCATTTCTTCACTCTGTAGCTAAGTAGATTTGGCATTTTTCGTCTTGTAAGGTTGTTGTGAAGATTATTTCCTCTTGCTTTGCATGAGAGGCCAACATGTACTGTGGCACCAATTACTGATAAAACTCAGTAATCATCAATTACTTAGGAAAACAAGATACTTGGCACATAAATATTCACTGAACTGAAAGTGCTGGAATTATGTAAGTATGAATTCATATACGAGGTTCTATCCTGTGAGAAAGCTCAAATAACATCTGCTGGTTGTCAATGATATGCAAATGATGGACATAGGACTTCAATTCCTCATGTTCTTTGGAAGGTATATCATTTCCTACAGTTTTGACAAGAGAAAAACAATAGATCAGTCACCATGCAGCATTTTTCTGAAGGCATGTTTTGAAGTTCAATCAACCATTTATCTTAAGGAACTCCTGAACTTCATATTTTTTATTTCTAGAAAATAATGGAAATTTTCTAATGACTTCTAATTTCAAATACTCTCTTTGTATGACTTCTACATTAATGAAGAATGTAGACATGTTATTACATTATATGTGAAGACTTGTCAAACATAAACAAACTTTTCACCATGAACCGAGATAAAACTGCATTAAAAAATCTATAAAAAATATATTGAAAAAGCAGCACCCCCAATCTTTTCATTATATGCTGGTTTATTTACTAGATAAAACACTCAAGATGATGGAAATGATTCTGTGCAAATTAAAAATACTAAGAACTATTTATGTGAATATATAGGATTTTCATTTCTTGACATTTGTTTTATTCCATGATTTGTGTGTATTCTGTGTATGTGTATTGATGTGTAAAAAAAGGTGGGAAGCCAGATGTTATGAATTTAATGCCCATCAGCCACATTGGTATTGAGAATATGGTGGTATTGGCTGCTAATGAATATTGAAAATTGAAGTTTAAACTCCAAAATGAGTTATTAATGTATAATATTAATGTTATAGAAATAATTAATACATAACTAAAGATAATCATATTATTTCTTTTTAAGTGTAATTTAAATAAAACCAAAAGTTCTTATAACTCATCTATTAATCTTAAGAGTAAAGGAAAAAAGGATAGTCTTTAGGGCTAAATTAATTTTGTATTCCTGCTGTAGTAATAACAAAAACACAGAGAAGGTAGGCTCTGATTCCCAAATGATTAAGATAGATGTATGAAGGGGAGGTGGGGAAAGCCTCAAAATATCATTCACTTACCAAATTGGTTACACCTACAATGCCTCAGTGATCGGACTGTGTCTGCAATCATGTGCTATGAAGTTAAAATATACAGGTTAATAAACCAATAAATATTTAAACTGGGAATGACCAGCATGTACAAGCTCCAAATAATGAGGTCAGGAGGCATCTGCTATAAAATGTAAATCTGGATTGCATTTACTCCAGTAATCCCTATACAGATTATTTCAAACATTAACTCAGGGTTGCAGATTTTATTACAGGAGCTATAAGATACCATTTGAATCCTGCCTTATAATATTTGTGGGAAGAGGTGGCTGAGCAGGCATCCAAAGTTTGGTTTTTTTTTCAAAAAAAACCCTCTAACTTCCATTCCTTCCAAAAGCAGAGTAGTAATTCATGTGAACAGAAAATATTTTAGCCAGGAAAAAGTAGGCAATATGGCATCAGAAATTGAAGAAGCCATGAAATCATTCTACCCAATATATCTAGGAACTGCAGGTCTTGGAGTTAATAGTTTTATTAAAAAAAGGATAAATTTTTAATTTAAAATTTAAATTAGTTTAAAAGAATGAGTCCTGTGCCATTTTTTTCCTAGGTAAAGCACAAAGATCTATATGTTTTCAAAGAAAAAAAAAAGTACACATGTATGATCAGGCTGGTCAGGCTGATCTGAACTGACATATCTCCATTAACAGTCACTGATTTATTCCTGAAGAAACATTTTTCTACAATTATTATTCAATCACAGTTAATCAATATAGGCCAAATAATTTAATTTATAGAGCAATGAACTGATAGGCCTACAAATTAACCATATGAATTATATAGAATAATATATACTTAACTTCCTAAAAATAAAACAATAATATTTTCCTACATTAATATAAACTAACATAACCATAATTATTGGTTCTGTGTTAATTAAGCAAATGTTTTCACTTCTTCAAATGTCTGCTTCTATTTATATATAATGATCTAATAATCCTTGTTATAAACATTTACTCCAATAAAAATATGGATATTTCTGCCAGAGAAGAATAAACCCATGTAAAACAGAGAACTAAAAATAATGGTGATGTCCAGATATTTTCTTTTGCGTATTAAAGGAAGCATATAATTAGGAATAACACATTGTGATCAATTAACAATGTATGAAATTTAGAATATAAAATGTTAACTAAGCTTGATATCAAGTTGACTACGTTATAGGGGGAATACTCCGTGGAAAGCTGAAACAAAAGGAATTAAATTAAAATTTAATTTTAATAAATAAGAGTAAGAAGAAAGGAGGGCAAGCAATAATATAGAAATGGAAATTTGTCTCTTTAGTGGGGAATGATACATACCAGCTTTTCAAAATTTACAAGGTTATCCAGAAATGTTTTGTTTCCTTCATGTATAAATGTTACATCTAAAAAAAGATAGATATATTTTTCAACTTAACTTTCCATATCCACATAGTAACAATAATAAAACCCAATGGTAATTGTTACATTTTCATGCATAAGTAAGATTCAGAAAATTTACTTGTGATAAAAAAAATTTAAAAGTATCCCAAACAGTTCAATTTTTGAACTTCTAAGTGAAAAATTTGAAATCATCAGATATGCATAAGGTAGTTTTCTGGAAGCATATCTAATGTGCATCAGTCTCTCGTTCTTGTTGGTTACTTTTCTCCTGTAACCAGTGCTTGGCAGCACCAAATTTGGAATCCCCTTTGTCAGTAGAATTACCACAACCACAACTATCAAATAAACACTGATATTCATTCCTCTTTTACACTCCCACTCAGTCCTATTCAAACTGGTGCACTTTAGGCATAAAATTCATTCAGATTTTATTCTCACGCCAAAAGCTCAGCACTATTAAGTTAGGGAGGTGACTGTCTGCTTGCTATCCCAAAGAAACACCTTCTCTAATCCTTTAAACTAAAGATCCCAACGCCCATCTCTCAAATGGAATGGGGGAGGAAGCAGAATAGCTGGACAGAATTTACAATATATCTTATTGGTTTTGTCAAGACCAAAGGGAAGAAGCTCAATAAACGCTTAAGTTAGGAAGATTAAAACATCATCCCTCTAAAACATAAATTAGGTTAATGTAGCATGAAATGGATTTGTGGCAAATAATACAATGCAATTGCACTTCATAGTTGTTCATTCTAATATTATTGCAAGATAAATGTGCTGTTTGAATAGTGGTTACTACTTCAGAACCATCTGCTGAAGGGGGTTGAAAAAATTATTTCTGTTCAAATTTTGATTGAATAGATTTCTGTTCACATTTTGCACTGACTAAAGATAACCTAAGTAATTTTCTTCTGGCAATCTTAATTTGCATGGTTTGGGGAGAGGGAGGAAGATTGTTCGTGACACATCCATCCATAAAAACCTGTTTAGTGAGTAGAGGGTAATACTAGAACTTCAAATAGTAGTCTAAAGGCTATAGCTCTAAAAGTGATTGATATGGCTGAGACAAAAACAATGTTTAATTTTTTAAATATTATGTAATCACATTTCAATATAACCATCCATTTAATTATTTATTATGATGACTTTCTCTTAATAGCTTTCCTCCTCTCAAATGCTATCCATCTGTCCCCTTTTCCACAATGGCATTTTCCTCTCCTGGAACTTATATATTGTATTATAATATCCTAATACATTTGAAATATGTCTTTTCATCAGCTATTGTGTTACTGTCAATGTTAATAATGAAAGTTTTAACAGCTTTTAAAAAAAAATTGTTCAAATCAAGATACAACTAAAAACCTTGAAAGACTTAGAGATTGATGTAAGGAATCTGCATTGCTTAACTACATTTCAAGTAGAAACAAATTCTGTGGAGCAGAAAACTGCCTCTTGGGTGTAGTATAAGAGCAGAATAAACAAACTAGAGTTAAAAAGCAATTAATTGTGATTTTGTTATAGACATTCAATTAATTTAAATAATGTACTACAGAACTAATAATCTAAAAAGTAGTTCAATTTTCCTTTTAATATTATTCGTTAAAAATCATGAAAACAGGAATATATTTTACTATAAATCAATAAAGCTGATTGAGCAGCTGTGTAGGATTCAAAAGGGGATCTTCCCATAATGATTCAAGGAGACCGAATCCGAAATTGAATCTGATTCAAAATGAATGCATATACCACAGATACAACCTAAAGATGTACACGTTTATTTAGAAATAAAGCCCAATATATTTTGTCAGCTTTACTGGCTAGTACAGGGGTCCGCAACTCTTGGGCCACGAGCTGCTTGGAACCAAGCAGCTTGCAGGCTGATTGCGTGGAATCATACCCCCCCCACCTTCCGTCTGCAAAAACGGAAAGCTTGGAGAATTCCAGATTAGTAGATCTATATAAAATTGCAGCCTACACAGGTATGCCTTAAAAGTTACTTTACTTTTCAATGCCTAAAAATATAATCCTAAGTATTATTGAAATTTATTAAAACCCATCACATTTGACCGAGGCAAGGCCTCTAAGTTTAGGACTGCAAATATGCTTAAATTTACCTTTAAGGAGTAAAGGCATGAAGGGGATCTTTGGGGACTTCATTTTCTTGAATGCATCCCTATAGACTTTGTGGTTCAGAGAGGGATCCTGTTAAAATGATTTGACTCTATTAGGAACAGCAGTTTATATTGGTATAAGCTTTAATATATGTAGATACAAAAGTATTTCCTTCTTGAAAAATAAGGCAGAAACAGTTTCTTAAAGAGAACTAGATGAAGTAATATATATTCTTAGCTAAAACATATCACATTTGTGTAAAGTTAGATGTCAAGTGCAACACATCCAAAGTTAGATAATAATAGCAATAGCACTTACATTATAATGCTTCCATTTGGCAACAAAAAAACATAGATAGGGAAATTAATGACAATTTTACATAAACCCAACTTACTGTCAAACTTTCAAGTTCAGCAAAGAGCTTCTTAAACTTTCCAGGCATTCTCTGCAATAAAATATGGCATATTAAAAGACTGAAACTAGAATTAAACACTAGATTCTATCAGTGACGCATCTGTAGTATGTTAAAGACATAAACTTTCTCTGGGACTATCTTTTTTAGATTTTTTTTAAGCAAATAATGTTTGAGAGTGACATAAAAATGTGTTCCAACACACATGTATTATTTAATACTGTTTATAAGCACCTGGACTTGCATTTATTTAATATCTTTAAGATTTATGTAGAGGAAGAAGAAGGTCATCATCAACCACATTATCACTTTTTTGAAGAAAGAATGCTATGATCATTGATTTTATTACCGTAGCCTTACTGGAATATTGAAGGGAAAAATCACTGATGTTATATTTATATGATGAGGTTCATCAAATGCAATTTTTCTCAACCCAAAATAAAAATAAAAATGAGGGCGCAAATACAAGAAAACTGAAGTATGAAGCAGAAATATTATGTTTCACTTGGAACTCCACACTTGGAACTCCAGTAGTCATTATGCAAGAAAATTGTCCTCTCCAGCAAACTAAGTTCAATTAAGCTTCTTGAACTTATATTGGCTATACCAAATTTCATCACAGTAATAGTGTATAAAATTAACTAACAATATCTCTCTATATAGATCTGTAACTAAGGTTTTGTAATATAATTTCCCAGGAATTAACTTTTGTTAAATGGATAGAATTTTCCATGGTAGTTCCATGCCATGCAACTCATACTAAAAGAAAAACAACTTAAAGCCATTATCAGCTTCCAAAACAGTTTATAAATTTTGTTTCGGATTTATTTCCCTAAAAGAAGATTTCTTAAATCTGTTCTTTCAATATCAATAACAATGATAAGAAAGTCAAGAATACATGCATGCACTAAAGTGCAACTTTTTCTTTTCAAATATACCAAACTGCTGAAAAACAATATGATTAAAAATAATTATCTAGAAAAAAAATAAAACAAATAAAATTCTCATATTACCTCCCATGTTTGAGAAAGCCGGCTGATAGAGGCAGTGTTGAGCCCCATGACAATGGCAAAAAATGAATTCAGATTTCGCTGGGCTTTGCAGCTATGAAATAATATCAGAAAAATAATTTACTTATGGTATTCAAAGTTACTTAACACTCTGTTGTTTAAAATAGAATGCTGAATTTATATATATATTTTTTAGATAAAATGTATGCAAACTTATTATTTTCTAAACTTTGTAAACTTGAGGGATTTGTTTATTTTTTTAAAGAAAATACTGCTGTATTGTTTGAAAATCACTCCATAATTTTGATAATTTCAAACAATGCAAATTCAAAATTCAAATTTATGGGGATTCGCAATAGAAAGAACAGTTTTTTCTCTAGACTGCCAGTCGTAAATCTGCAATTTCTTCTTAGAGGTATACATAGATTACACACAAACACACACACCTCACACACACGGATCCTGGCAAATTATTATTCTTTACTGCACAAATTGGATTTATCTAAATTAAATCTTTATCCACTCTTGCCTGCACAAAGCTTTTCAATGTTAAGAATATTCATGTGTTTTACAATCTTCAATATACAGTATTTTATAGCTTCTTGTTGAAAATTTAGTTAATGTGCAACCAATATATCTAGTGAATTATTCTTATTGATAAAATCACATGATCAGACAGGTACTTTTCTGATAGAGGTAGTCCTCAGCCTATGACCACAATTGAGCCCAAAATTTCTGTTGCTAAGTGAAACATTTGTTAAGTGAATTTTGCCCCATTTTATAACCTTTCTGCCACAGTTGTTAAGTGAAGCAGTGCAGGGTTAAGTTAGTAACATGGTTGTTAAGTGAAGCTGACTTCCCCATTGACTTTGCTTGTCAGAAGGTCGCAAAAGGGATCACATGACCCTGCAAAACTGCAACCATTATAAATATGAGTCACTTGGCAAGTGCCTAAATTTTGATCACATGACCATGGGGATGATGCTCTAGTCAGCAATTTTCGATAATGCTATCTGGTTGAAGAATCTCATTATCTTAATAGAAATAGTATCTCTTGTTGGAATATATATTTCTATACGTAATCTTTGAATTACGTATGTAAGTCAAGAGGGTATTAAGTGAATGTTAAGTGACTGAGCCTCCAACCGTGCTCTCCGCATGCATTCGTTAAACGAATGTGTGGGTCATTAGGTGGAATATGTGGGTCATCAGAGTTGGCTTGACTCTGCCCCCAGGCTCCCAAGACCTCCTTCCACCCAGATACCCTATACTTAGCTTCCCACCACTCGACATCCCTACTATTGCTTGGGCCACCTTCTCACCCCACCCCAAAGCATTAGTATATGAAATTCAACTTTGGGGAAAACCAGCAGCTCTTTTTGTAAGCTGAAACCTTTCTCCTTCTTCCAAGGAGTATCAGCATAGGCAGCTAAACCTCCAGAGAAAACCAGTTCAACTTTGGTGAAAAATTGCCAGCGTGATCTAGCACCAGGAGCTTCGTGATGTAAGATTCAAGTATGTTCCTTACCTTAAGGAAGGGAAGGCACTTGCAGCATTTGAGAAAGAGAGAAAAGCACATCTCAATCCAGAAAGAAGGGGTGGAAAAGCCAAGGAACATGCTTATGCGCTCGAAAGTTGAATTTTGCTCAGAGTGCAAACTTCTCCAAACTGGTACATCTTAGTCCATGAAGCCAGCCCGGCTCCTATTGCTAGATGATGCTGGCAATTTTTCGTTACAACTGAGCTGTGGAGAACAGCATACCAAGCCCCTGGTTGCAAATTTTTGAAACACTGCAAAGGAAAGGTCATTCCATTTCAGCTGTGTAGGATACCCCTCCTGAAGAGTCTGGCCTCTGCTTTAGAAAAGCTCTTTGTCCAGAATGAGCCCTTTAAATCCGGATTCCCTATCCAGCGAAGGGAAGCAGCTTGGTTCCTCACAAAAGTGAAGTTGATGCTTGCACTGAGAGCAGAAAGAAACACTACACTCTTTCATTTCAGCCAATGGAGTTTTGGGAAAATGCAACAAGAAAAGCCACTAAAATTTGGAGTGTCTCTTTTTCCTCCTTCATCCTGACAACAAAAGGCACAGACAAAGTCTAAAGCATGCTGCAGCATCCATTGTTGAGTGGATTCAACAGGAAACAGCTATCAATATTTATTTAATTTTTAACTTACTGAGCAGCAATTTTAATGAACTTTTTCACTAGCTGTACACGTTTACAGAGCTGGTTGCAGAGTAGTATTTCTGTGGCAACCCAAAGTTGAACTTCATTGCATCTTTGAAGCAGAAGACTAAGATTCACAGTGTTTTTCCCATTTCCTTGTCGGCTGAAGGTGAAATATATCAGTTCTTGCTGGAAGACAGTTTAAAAGAATGTAAAATGCAAATTAGAATTTAATAATCTGAAAAATGTAATTATTGTTGTTTGGTCAGATTACCCATATTACTAACTTGAACAAATCTATAGCAATTCAGTAAAGTATTTTTGAAATTATTCTTTTAATTAAAACTATAAAAAATGTAATAATCAGATTGTTTGTGACTTAATATCTATTAATCATTGCCGGTTTCAGTTTGAAAAGCTTTTGAGAACAGGATTAAATCTATTTTTCTTTTTTGTCAAAGAAGTAACAGAAGGATTCCCAACTCCTGGGCTGTGACCCACTACTGGCCTATGAGCCTTTCAAAACTGGGCCATAGAAGTGGTGGGGAAGCTTGCGTGCATGCCCACTCACACAAGCAGCAGGCGAGCATGTGCTCTGCATTTGTGCAAGCAGCAGGTACATGTGCCCACTCTTTATACAAATGGAACTGCACGCACGTGAGCACTTCCCCACCACACACACGGAACCATCCCCTGTCGTCATCCCCCCCACCAGTCTGCAAAGCCGAAAACATTGGGGAACTCTGAAGTAAAAGCTGCATTTGGTAATAAGTCTGTGGAATGACCCAAAATAATTACAAATAATTACATGGGAAACATATTGTGATTCATCAAAGCTAAACAAAACACTTATAGTTAGCATGCAGATTCATCATCTTAATCTTACTTCATGAACCAAATTGAAAAGATTCCAGTCAAAAACTGTTAATTCTAAAGCAAGGTCCCAGGTGTTAATCCCCAGAATTTTCATTGATCCTTGGTGGATTTCCTCATTTTCAGTAAAAGGGATCTAAATCAAGAGACACATATAAAAAAAGAAACATATACAACTCAAAATTAGTTGCAAAGAAATGTTTTAAATATTTTTGCACTGAAATCATTATGGCCTCTAATTAATTCTAATATTAAGAGCAGTAGCATTTGTCTTATTAGGAACATCATGAAGATAAGTAACTATATTTGTAACAATATAAATATAAACAAAAATAGTAATCAACAGGATACATGAGGACTGTTTTAAAGCAAACATCTCAAATTTATTATACCAATAAAATTTTACTACAGGTAAATTGTAAATTGTTTTTCTAAGACCTAAACAAGCATGCTGTACTAATAGTATTCTATTACTATATAATTAATCATGTGCCTTGGTTCTGCATCAGAAATATATCTCACTAAATTCAACTGAACGTAATTCATAATAAACATGTACCAACATCAAAATGCCAAGGATGACCCAGAATCTCCATTAATATTTCCTTCAATACAGTTATAATAACAACTTTTGCAATGTGGAATTCCAGAATGATAGAGGGCAACTAATTAATCTGAATTATACCACTAGATCATAGGACTTAAAGCAAACATTTCAGTAATATTAAAAAAAATACATTCGTTCAAATGGACTATCATTTAATATTAATAAAGATTTGATAAATTCATCTTAACCTTTCATAATATTTCTTAATTTGTAACCGATTTTCTTGATTATAAGTACTTCAGGAAAATAGAGAGTCTGAATTTGTGCAAATATTTTTCTAAAAATGATATAATAAGGGAGAGAGACACCCTTGGTTCTTCCTCTGGGATCTTTAGGTTCTGAGGTAACCCATCTTTATGGGTTGAACAGCTGAATAGTGACTGGCAAAGGAGGTCTTCTTGCTTCCACTTTAGTCCCTGTCTTTTACATATATCAATTTCAACCCAAACTTTTGGGAAATCCTCAACTTATCTGGCTAAATACAGTGGGAAAACAACAAGTACCTAGTTAATAGTTTAAAACTTCAAGCCACCTAAAAACAAGAACCACAAGGACTTACCAAGGTATCTGCCAGATCCTTTCGAAATACAAACATACGAGCAGATAACTCAAGAGATTTGGAGATTGCTAGATCATATGGTCGTAATTCATGTTTTTCTTTAAGAGTAGGGAAAAGAATCATAGTAAGGAATTTTGATTAACTGTATGACATTTATAGGTGTAGCCTTTTTCTGAATCCATAATAGCAATAGCACTTAGACTTATATACCGCTTTACAGCCCTCTCTAAGCAGTTTACAGAGTCAGCATATTGCCCCCAACAATCTGGGTCCTCATTTTACCCACCTTGGAAGGATGGAAGGCTGAGTCAAGGCTCTCCTTGAGCTTGGTGAGATTTGAACTGCTAAATTGTAGCAGCCAGCAGGCAGCAGAAGTAGCCAGCAGTACAGCACTCTAACCACTGTCCACCAGGACTCATAATATTGGTCCCATAATATACATAATCAAGACTGGGTATTTCTGAGCTGTATAATTTATTTCAAAAAGCAAACAATTTGACTTTTTTTTAAAAAAAAATGGAGCACATAATTTATTTGTACACATTAATATCTAAAGTCTAAATTAAGGATTTAAAATTTAAAAAAATATTGCTTAAATACAGGTAGTCCTCAACTTACAACAGTTCATTTAGTGGACTATTCAAAGTTGCAACAGCATTGAAAACGTGACATATGACTGTTTCTCACACATACAACCATTGCAGCATCCCCATGGTCACATGATCAAAATTCAGATGCTTGGCAACTGACTCATATTTATGATAGTTGCAGTGTTCTGGGATCATGTGATCACCTTTTGTGACCTTGTGACAAGCCAAGCCAGATTCACTTGATAACTATGTTAACAATTTAAGAACTGCAGTGATTCAAGAACTGATGTGACAAGAAAGGTTGTAAAATGAGCAAACTTAACAAATGTCTCACTTAGCAACAGAAACTTTGGGCTCAATCGTGGTCATAAAGGACTATCTTTACTTAGAAAACATTCATTTCTAAAAGTAATATTTCCCACAATTTGCCTTCATGTCTAAAAACCACTTGATTACTTCAAAGTAGAAACCATCTTTCAGAGTGCATTTTTTTATATAGGTAGTTTTAAATTGCAAACCTTACAGTTTGCAAATCTTAGTCTACAGTTTTCTATAAATGCAAACCTTACAACATGTTTCTGAAGAAGTGAAATCCTTTTTGATATAGAAATGAAGCGGAATGTATTATACAGCAGAACTAAAATATTAGCAGTTGTCATGGAAACTACTTTCTGCTGAACAGCTCTTTATTGTAACTTTGGCCATCCAGCTGTGGACTCACTGGAGGAGACCTACATCTGCACTAGAAAATAATTTACAGATAAGATACCAAAAATAGTATTAAAATATTAATATTTGAAAACCATTTACCATTAGAGAATGAAAGCGCCACTAGAGCCAGATCTTCCTGAGAATGTTGGAGCTTCTCTGCTACAATTTTCAATATCTCTTGAACTGAACTGGATAATTTAGTTTTTATACTGATGTAAGAATGTTGTGTTATATACACACGGCAAAAAACTGCAAAGAGAGAAGAAAATTGTTCCATCAACAAAAGAAATCTTTTTTGAAAGGTATAAAAACTTAAATGATTGCATTGTTTTAGATGGCTTGCCAATCATTATTTGATAAGAGAAATTACAGTTACTCTAGGATTTGGATTTGGAAAAGTGAATCTGCTTAAAAATCAGAGTAGAGTAGCTATAATTTCTGTAAAATAAATGATGACCTAGTGTAATATGTCATCATGTCATATGTCATCATGTTGTTCATCTGAGGTTGTATTTACCTACTTTTAAGAACTGGTATGAACCAGATGATTTTTATTATCTCCTGATATGTAAAACCATAGAACTCAAAGAGACTGTTCGTTTTTTTCAAGTGAGTGTATTATAAAAGGAATTATTACTTCACCCATGTTTTGTGAATGTTGGCAAAGATGTCTTAACTTCTCTTATATTTAATTTAGATTTGAAACCATTGGCCTACTCGTTTTAAAAACTATGATATGCAAGAGAATGTTGAGCCTAATAATGGTCAAGACATTAAATTTCAGAGTATGATACAAATTTCTTAAACTTTCACATATTCAATTAAGTGAAGCAAGTCCAATACTGTACGCTTATTAATGGACCTAACATAATTTTTGGAATTTTAAAAAATTGTCCCTTTCATGAATAAATATGTACGAATATTCCTAATAAAACATATAGTTGTTGATTTAAATATTTTAATCTTGTACACAAATTAATAATGATATCAATGGTGAATATTCCTATGGATTTAAAATGAAATATTGTTAAAATGAATACAACTTAAGCACATACACAATCATAAACATAAATAGGGATCTTATCCCACATAAGTACTTAGTTTTATTGGATGGAACTATCTCATTTGTTATTCTACTTTGTACATGTAAAGGAGGAAGGTTAATTTATGGATTTTCAAGTTCTTCATTGGTCTTATATTTTAAGAATGTTTGTGTATACATGTGTGTATGTGTGAACTACTGGTGGGGTTTTTTTCCAGAAACCATTTGAGTACAACTAAAAAATATTACTTGATTCATCCCCCTTTAAGAAAAATTCACATATTAAAGATTGAAAGATACATTTGGAAGATTTTAGGGTGGAAGTTTAAGTTGGATCCCAGATCACAAATAATATTAATATTTTTGAGATAATTTGTAATTTGACAATTTTAGACAAATACACCTGTTACCTCCATTCTTCACCCAGAACATTACAACACCGTTAAAAGTTCTTGGACAAAAACAGTGTTAAATACTACAAGGCTGTTATATTCGTAATTCTTTCTTTGAAACAAGAGAAGTATTGCAAGAATTTAGATTGTTTGAAACTGCAAAGTGTTTGTATTAAAATACAAACAAACTGGCAGAGGCCAAATAGAGGCAACTGTAGGTCACTGAAAATTTCTCCAAGGCCCTGGTGTAAGCCAAGTCAATTCATAATGTGCTTGGGGCAGACCAATCTAACAGGACTATCTTCCCAGAAAAACTATGACACAGCACAGTTGTTAATGTCCTCTACCTACAGACCATATAATTGCTCCAAAATGAAAACTTTTATCAAGTATGTTGCCCTGAGTTTGTGATGCCTTGGGGAAAGCCCATAATTGTCATAGCAGAAATGAACAGATTCTTGAAGAATGCCACCTCTTCTCCCATATGTAGTCAAGATTGGTGCACTATCCAAAATCCAATTGGGAAGATTTAAGGTAAAGACATCCTTTCATCATTATTCAACTCAAACCAGTTTCCAATTACACTGGTCATGTGGCGAAACAAGGTCACAAGCCTGGCATTTAACAGAATCAACCTAACTCAACAAGGACATTGGATTGTGGCTGGAAGGATGAGGGGAAAAACTTGAAATAGGAATCAGTTTCTTTTTCATTCAAATAGCAGATTCTTTTTGTGTTTCATTCATATTTACCTTCTTCTGTTTCATTCACAGATTCTCTGGTCTGAAGCCAGTTCTGCTTGAGGCTGTATTGATGTAAAATGGCTTTATGCTATAGAGTTTTAAAAAAAAGAATGCCAAAATTATTGGATGTTTTAAAAAAGGAAAAACAGAAAAGTCTATGCACAGTTTGTCTAAATAAACTAATCATATTCTATTCAGGAGATGTAAAGAAGAATACACATAAAACAGGAGGTGTAAAGAAGAGAGGGAAAGGAGAGAGGGAGAGAGGAAGGGAGGGGGGAAAGAGAGAGCAAGAGAGAGGGGGGAGGGAGGGAGAGAGAGAGATTTTTTATTCACCAAAATCCTATTTTCTGCTTCTGATACTTTTATTATTTATTCATTAATTCAATTTCCATAGCTGGCCATCTCAAGACAATTTACTGCAGGCAGGCAGTGTCACAATAATTAAAAACATAAAAGAAAAAAGGGTTACAAATTATATGTATTGGCAACAGAAAATGATCATAGTAATTACATAAAAATTATCAATGCAACAAGATAATAAAGGTCCTAATACATTTGGGAACCTAGATTCGGGTGCTAGGTAGAACCTAGTTATTTAAAGCCTTACAAAAAACTAATATGGTCAGGACCATCCTAAGCTCCAAAGGAAGGATGTTTAAGGGCATGGGCTACTGCCAAAAAGATATAACTTCTGGTCCCTACCAGCTGACATTCCTTCGCTGATGGGACCTGCAGCCAATCCAACCTGAATTGGATGGGTAGAAACTATTGGGAGAAGACATTCCCTTAGGTACCCCACTCCAAAGCTATGTACCATTTTAAAGGTGACAACCAGCAATTGCACTGACTGTTGATTTGCTTCCAGGCCCAATTCAAGGTGCTGGCTATCACCTTTAAAGCCTTATGTGGCTTGTGATCAGGTTATTTGAAGGACTGTTTTTTTCTCAGTCATATTTACCCAATCTTTCAGAGCAAGGAAGCAGGGAATATTATGAGTCCCCTCTTCTAAGGAGATCCATCTAGTAAAATCAAGAAGCCTTCTCCCTGATGGCTCCCCTTCCCACGGAATATCATCTCTGCAAAGAGAAGATTGGCCCTCACTTTGGCAGTCTATTACAAAGCACTGAAGATATGATTTGGCCAATAGGCCTGGGGACCCCAAGATGATAGGGAATTATCAGGTGATTCATTTGTTTTTGTATTGGAGGTTGTACTTGGGGTTTTATCTTTGTAAGCTACCCAGAATCAATGGGAATGAGTTAGGCGGCCTTATACATTTTTCACATACATACATACATGCATACATATATAACTTCATAAATGAATGAATGAATAAATGAATGAATGAATGAATGAATGAATAAATAAATAAATAAATCACACACTTAAACATTAATTCTCTAAATTTGGGTATATATTACTTACGCGGGTGAAGACATATATATACTCTTTCTTTCTGTCATTACTCCTAACATTTGCATTCAATATCTTTGTTCAGATTTTCTGTCAAAATCCATTTAGGTTCAACATTATCTACAGGAAATATTACTTGGCTTCCCCATAATGCATACCAACAAACTACACTTTAATTTTGCTATAGGCATCTTCTTTTTGTTTCTATGGTTGGAAGCAGAGCCACATCATTAGCAAACAGATTTAACAATGCCAACAGAAAAGTGTAACTTGCCTATTTATTTATTTTGGCTGTTTATTTTCATTAATTAAAAGAATCTAAAGCAAAGAAAAATGAAGTTACTAAATTAGAATTAAAATAATTTTAGCACTTTTTCATATTACCTTTCTGTGAGGTGAATATTCATCTACTGTGCTGAAAGAAAAATATGTACGTTACTCAATTTTGTAATAAAAATGCTTTCCATATTGGTATAGACCTCTACTAAAAAAGGGCACAGAATCAAATAGTCTAGAAGTTCAATCTTCACACAGTGTTGTGGCCCACCAGTGGCCAGCAGAGCTGGCAGCTGAGTCGGACAGTAAGGAACTTGGGACAGTCCTGGGGGCTGGGGAAAGCTCAGACAAGGGCTCTGCATCAGAGGCAGAGTGGAGTTAGACAGCAGCAAGGCAGAGGAACAGCTGGAGCCCGTTCCCAGTGTGCCCATGCACAGAGCTGCCAGAAGAAAAGAACAATTAAGAAAGCAGGGTAGACTCAGGAGTAAGGACACACCTTGGAGATGATTGGCCCCTCCCATAGGACATAAAAGAGGAGCGAATAGGATATGGGCTTTTGCAGGAAGCAATTAGTTCATCTTGTTTCAAGATTGGAAAGTTCTCTTCATGACTCTAATAGACTCTAATAGACTTGGCCTTGCTCTGCATTTGAAAATTGGTTCTGTGGAATCATTCCAAGTGAGATAAGGTGTAGGTTGATAAACATTCCTCTGAAAGATTGTTTGCCAAAGTCTTGTTGACTGTGAATGAAGAGAATTCACAGTCGTGTTAATAAAAGAGGTTTTACCAGAATTAAGCCTTTGCTTCATGCTTTCTAAGGAAGCCTAGGTCAGAACACACAGTTAATTCAACACTTTTAACAATACACCACATTGACTCTAGCAATGTTACCATCATATATGATTAATTATATCCCTTAATTACTATAACTTGTCATTAGCTAGTAATCTGTAACAGCAATTGTTGTGATAGTAATTGTTGGTAGGAATAATATTTGTAGCATTTGTTTACACAAACTCATTGCCTACATCATTCCACTCTTACTTAAGGGTGAACAGGGTACCTTTTTGTCCTGAAAATTTGTCAATATTCAGTAGTAGAATTCTCTGAATTTCAGACAAGAGCTTTTCTAGCCTTATTTAGAGATGCCCTCCAATATTGTGCCATTTATCCAGCAAAATAGATAAAAGATTATACATAATGCAGTGTTATTTTCAGCCAGTCATTTTGTATTTAAAAATATTTAATAGTATATTATACAATAATTATATTATATAAATGAATATATATATATTTAAGCAAATATAATTATGTTCATATAATAATTATATAAATGAAATGTTTATGTGCAATGGGAGAAAAATGAATATTGAGTTTTGTTAAAATGTCAAATCAACATTCTGCTGATTTAAATCAGAGGACAAATCTCTCAAACCCGGAAAAACAACTGATGAGTCCATTGAAAATATAAAGTTAATAGTTATTGTGCAACCACTGTTTCATTGTACTGTTTCATAAATCATGCTTCAAAGAGACAAGAAACAAGATTTGTGCACAATAGACCTCAAAACTGATGCAGATCATTCACTACTCTTTCAGAAAAAAAATTAAATTTGTGCCGTATATTAAAACTCTGTTCAAACAGCCTTCTCTCTACCTCTGATGCTATTAATTATTTTTAATCCAACAGCTCTGTAACAACCCTTTTACAATACTAGTAAATATGGACTATTAGATTGCAATAATAATTTGTGTATCAAACCTATTATTTCAAGTTATTCTCTTATAAACTATGCAAAATCAATGCTTGCCTATACAAACATTAAATACTTGAAACCAGACCACTTGATATTAAAAAAAAAAAACCATTAAAATTAGCAAAAAAAATCCAACCCTAATTGTAACTCCTTAAAGGAAGAAATATAAAATAGGACAAAAAAGAAAACTTACTGACGACGATGCATTCCAAGTAATTTCTGAAATTCTTTCAGGTCTTTCTCCAATATAGGGTATTCATACACATCATCTAACACATTTCTATATATTGTCTAAGGAAAAAGGAAGTTGAAAGAAAAGGAGGAGAAAGAATCAAATAAATATATGCTACAGCTTTTCAGCAATTCAGTAAAAGCAATAGTCCAGAAATGTTTCATGTTAAGATTTTCAGGTTGCAGAGGGCTTTTTAAATGTTTTTTTAAAGAGCCAGTTTGGTGTAGTAGTTTAAGGCAGAGAATGTGATTTCAAGTCTGACTTAGGTGAAGAGAAGCCAATCACCTTCTCTCAACCCTAATAAGAAGGCAATGGCAAACCACTTCCAAAAATCCTTGCCAAGAAAACTGATGCACTAGACCAGGCAGTGGCCAGGAGTCAAAAACAGATTTGAAGGCACACAACCACCAGTCAATATTAGTTATCTCGAAAGGCAGTCTCTTACTGAATAACTGAAAAGATACATTTTCATAGAATGCCTAAAAATAGTCATTGTGTGCTTCATTCATTATAGAAAGATCTTCAATATTGAGTATATAAAGATATGAAATGTTCTTAAAAGCGTGAGAATCCCAGAACATCTCACTCTTCTCATATAAAGCACAATCAGAAAGAGTCATGGTGTAAAAGACTGACTGCAGTTTGGCAAAGAAGTGGAACACTGCTGTGTAGTTTTATTTATTTTTTCATTTATTCAACCTATATACTAAACATATATTGAAGGAAGCTGAATTAGAGAAGGATTAAAGTTGGAGAAAGGAACTCAATAATTGTGTTATAATGATGACAGTATTCTGAGAGCTAGAAATACAAGTGATTTCAGTGCTCCAGTAATGAAAGTCAAAGAGTATGGTGGAAAAATGGTCTATGATTAAGTATAAAGAGGATCAAGTAAGAAACCGGCCTGATAACTGACGATGGAAACACCAAAGTGATAGACAGCTTCTGCCTTTTAGAATCATCTACTAACACAGAAGGAAATACACAGGAGACTGTGAGGAAGGCTATAATAATGGGAAAGATAAGAGGGAAACAGAAAAAGAGAATGACCAGCAGCAAGATAGATGGACCCAGTTACAGCAGATCTGAGGGGGCAAGTTGGTGACAGATTGTCTTGGAGAAAATCTATATATGTGGTTGCTAAGAGTTGTTATTAATTTAATGGCACATAATCAATCAAATTTTATAACAACTATTTTATCATCTATGTGCTTTCCACAACCGGTCAAGATTTATTACTCCATCTTAATCCTGTTTTTTGTATGTAAGGTTACAATACCCCTTTCCATCTTTCATATAATTGTGAAAAATTAAGAAAAAGTAAAGGATTTCATGACCCTTCCAGGGACATTACATAATATGTAATGTGTAAACCCATTATTAGAACACTAAATCCTCTGAACTCTGGAATCTGAGTTAACTGTGTACTTTTAGATCATAACAGAAGAGCAATTATTTGCAGGCTAGGTACTCTTCATCTAGAAGCACCCAGTCGAACTTTGAGAGATATTACATTATAAATGCTGATCCTATATTCAATGTGAGCTTACCTCAAATATACTATGATAGGTTGCACATTTTAAGATAGTTTTGGATTTTTTTAAATTTATCATTACTGTTCTGAATCAGAAAGTATTTAAATATACATACCTTAAGAAACTGCTTTAAATGTTCATCTTCATGCAACCAGTCTTTGTACAGTGAAGTCCACTGTGACACCAAATGCAAGACTTTTCTCTTTCTGCAGGGAATATCAACAATTTCATCCTTGTCCTGATGGTTCTTAGCACAATAAGTGGAGGCAAATTAAGGTGAAATCTCAAAAATAACAGATTTTTTCTCCCTGTTGTCTGAATATACCTTTTTTTTCAATTTATGTATGCAGCTTTGAGTAATTATTGATTCTGATTTAAAATATAATAAATAAAATACAATGAAATAAATAAAATATTCAATGATTTGTATGTAAGGTTCATTCAGTAACAATTAAAAATATTTGTTATATACTAAGTAATATGTGAAAGCAACTGTCTCTTGTCGGAAGCTAAAGCTTAAAATACAAAAGATAGTAGCATTTACTATTTTTTTAAAAGAAACACTAAACTTTTTTCTCATTTTTTATTTATAGTTACTGCATTTATTTTTTTTTTACATTTCCATTCCATCTTCCTTCCAAGATCAGAATAAAAGTTTCCCATCTTATCTCTGGATAAAGAGAACATTGCAAGGGATTGCAATTTCCCAAACATTACAACATAATTAAGCACTAGTCTATGTTGTCTTTTTTTTTTCTTAATTCAGAAATGATAAAAATAAATAAAACACAAACATAATTAGGCGCAGCAAATTCCAATGAGCTGGATGTGGGTGTGAAGAGCCTGGCTCCACAGTGCTTCCTTGCTCAGTTGAAAACTTCGTTCGGCCTTCCAAAGGAGCCACCGCAGCTGCTGCTTGTTTAGTGGGGGTGGTCCTGGCTATAACCGGCAGCTTCAGTTTTTTCCCCACCACAATTCTGCCGCTTGCCCCACCTACCACCAGTCAGATGCCCTCGCTTCCCCCAAGCATTGCTTTGCCTACCTGATTTCCAGCTCCATCGCAATTTTTGCTATTGTGTGCAGGAAAACAAAAGTTTCTGGGGCTAAAAAATTTTTTTTCAATTGATTCCAATTTTTCAAGATTTTTTTCTTTCGCGAGAACTTGAAATTGATTGATTGCACTTTATTTTTATTACCACAAAGTTTTATTTCCCTTCACTCGATTGCGAGAAACGTGATGGAGAAACACGATGGAGCAGGTAATCAGATAGGCAAAAATTGCTTGGGGGAAGCGAGGGCATCTAGCAAGTGCCGGCAAACTCTTCTGCCCACAAAAACCTCATTTTTGACCACTAACACCAAAAGGCAGAGCAAGAGCTTCCAGGAAGAAGCCAGTAGATCTGGGAGCCTTGAATACCCTTTCTCCACCATCCCACCTTTTCCCAACTGCCACACTCCCAAATTACAGTGAAAGAGAGGAGCAGAAAGCCCTGTCATGCCTGGCCAGAGTGGGGAGAAGAGGCAGCACGCACCCCAGTGAAAGGCGGCAGCAGCCCGGCTGCTTCCCTTCCCTGCCCTTTCTGGCGCTGGAAGCCAAGTATCAGCCACACACCCAGTCACCCATGCAGAGATCAGGAAGGCTGCGGCAAAGGCAGGCAAGCGGGCTGGGCTATGTGGGAAGCAGCTAAAGGAGGAAGACTCACCAGACAGAGAACAGCTGGGCTGTCGAGGCAAGCAAGAGAACCAGAGAGCAATAGCAGCTATGCCACAGGTGTGACTGTAGGCATTGGTCAGGGTGGGCAGGGCAAGATAAAAAGTGAGGGGTGGGGCCAGCCAGCCAGCAATTTAACAACTGGTTCAGCCGAAGTGGTGCAAACCGGTTGAATCCCACCACTGCATTTTTATTGGAAATGGGAGTAAATTATTTTGTAATCCTAAATCTGTACTTCCATCAATTTTGGATTAAAGTTGAGATATAAGCAGGCGTACATAGATGTATCTATTGCAATGATTAATAAATTCTCCTTAACAGGGCAAAGAAGCTGTGTAGATTTGTCTTATATCTAACATATAAAGGTCATTAGATACAATGAGGCCTGAATCAATGATTCCCTCTTGTTCTATAGAGAAGGATATTGTCTCAGCAGAGCTTGACACAAGTCATCTGTTGTCATGAAGACTGTATATGTAAGGAGGAAGTCATCCAGAAGAGTTTCTACAAACAAAGGAGAAGAAAAACAAAAAACCAAATTTAAAAAATGTACAAGATAACTGGAGTATTATGTAAGCATATAATACTTTATTCATAATATATGAATAAAGTTCAAACTATGACAATAAGAAAGTCACAATAAATATAACAGCAAAGTTTCAGATAAATATGTAAATCTGAAAATGGATAAGAACTTCAAAAGGATATGGGTCTTCCAAAACAAAATACAAGAGATAATTTCTACTTAAAAAGGAATTGCTACAGCACATATAAAATTGACTTCAGCTTTTAAAATACTTTACAAAATGTAATGTACTTCACTGAAAGATAACTTACAATGTGGCACTGTGTGTACGTATTCAAAACCAAGCTCCACTAAATTTAACTGGAGTTACATTAGTATAGCAGCGATGATCAGCCGGCATTAAAAAGCCAGCCATCAACACACCCCAATCAACATCTAAAAAGTCACATATAACAGGCATTATAAATACCATACACTATAAATACCATACTCTCTTGGTGCTAGAGAGAAGTTCCCTGAAGATGGGTTCTAGCACGAATCCAAAAGATCGAAAGACAAAACCTCTGGTCCCGGTGACAGACCCAGATTGGATCCTGCATCAACCTGTATTATTTACAATATCCTATTGTGCCAGTGAAATTTATTTTATTTATTATACTTTTATCCTGCCTTTATTACTTTATAAGTAACTCAAGGTGGCAAACATACATTATACAGCAGACATATCAAACTCAAGGCCCACAGGCCAGATCCGGCCTGCAATGCGTTTAGATCTGGCCCGTTGGGCGCCTTGGAGGGACCGGCCCCCACAACCTTGGCCCTGGCCCACCCCAACCCAGCTGGACACTCCTCCTGGGCCTCTACCCATCCCTTCCTCAACAGCCCCCCTCCTCCAAATAAGCTTGGAACCCCATTTTCTTTCTCCAACAGCTTCCCTGGTGCCTCTCCTGCTGCCGTCTCCATTGACAGCTGCCTTCGCTCCCAACCACCACCTGCCGACCTGCCTGCTTCTTTACTTGGTCCCTCAGGCTTGGGTTAGTGGGGACAATGTGAAAGGCCACTGGGGGCAGTGTGAAAAGGAGGAAGAGTGGCTGAATGAGGCATCTGAGCCCAGCTCCTGCAGGGCCCCTGCCACTGATGCTGCTGTTGTTGCTGGGCCCCAAAAAGGGGAGTGGGAGAAATTGAGGTTGCCACAATTTTTGCCCCTTCCCTGTCTTAGTTGCACACCACCTCCTCCATCTTAGAGATGGTGGCTAGGGAGAATTTATGAGCTGTAGCCAGGGGGAGCATGGATCGGAGGGGAGGCCGAAAGAGCTTCCACCCCTTAACCTCTTCCACTCCCCCTCCATGGAGCTCTTGCCTCCCTAGATGGCCCTGCTGCAGGCATTTAACTGCCACAGCGCACTTGCAGCAGAGGTGTCATTATGGACCATAGGCAGGGCACGTGTGCTCTTTCCAGGCCACGTTCCAGCTTTCATGTTCCAGATATCTCCATCTACCAGCCTGTCCCAGGCCGGTCTCCTCCAGATGTGGTCTGTTGGACTATGGATTTCTCTCTGCCCCTGCCCCCAAGCAGCAAAGCTGGCTTTTGCGTGTAGGTATTCTTTACATGTTTATATTGTAAAATAAAATGCCCTATCCAGGAGGCTGGCTTGATCCCTTCCTTCCTTCTTTCCCTCCCTTTCTTCTTTTCTTCCTTCTTTTCCTCCTTCTTTCCTTCCTTCCTTCTTTCCTTCCTTCTTTCATTCCTTCTCCCAATGGCTCCTTTGTTCGGCTGTTGCAGAGGAAGGCCCACTATTCTCCTCCAGTCCAGGAAGCACACACACACCCCGCATGCACACGCACATACATACACACACACACCATTCCAAATTTGGAGACTTTTATCCACATCTGAGCTTGCAAACTGCCAATCATATTTGGGATTGGGGAGAAGGCTCTCTCTGTCTGTGGATAAGTCACCAAACTTGGAATGTGATGTGTATCTGTGCATGAACACATACACTTGACTACTAGCAGTTTGGGGAGGCGAGGAGCTTGTGGGGCATTGAATTGTCCCCATGTCGAAGTAGAGTTAGCTGTTAAGAGTTGTTCCATCCCAATCCCACAATCCCAAGTGAGTGGCCATGCCCACCCAGCTACATCCATCTAGTTACAGCCACACCTATGCAGCCATGCCCACTTGGCCGCTGTGAATCCGCATAGTCTTACATGCAACTGGCCCTTTGAGGACAACCATAATGCTAATGTGGCCATCAATGAAATTGAATTTGACACCCCTGATATACAGTATTCCTCACAATAGCACTGTGGAGTGGGCTTGGCTGAGAGAGAAAGTGACTGGTCAAAGGACACACCCAGTTGCTTTCATGCCTAAGGAGGGACTAGAATTTACAGTCTCCGGGTTTCAAGACTAGCATCTTAACCACAAGATCAAACTGGCTCTTTTGTAAAAATGAAGTATTTTGATTGCTGAAAATCAGTAGAATTTCTAGCCACTTTGAATGAAAAATACATAGTAATCATAGCATACTCCCTAAAAGAAGCTTAACATTATTTTTTTAAAAAAATCCAATTGTACCCATATTTCTGAAAACATAAAAATATCCTATTCCTTTTCAACTAACAAAGTTATTCAAAGCACAGAAACTAAGGCAAAATAGAAAGAAAACACTCTTTGCATCCACCATGCCCACATTCCAAATTTGCTCTTAAATATCTTAAGTTTCCAAAATATTTTTACTTTCTTAATAACCGTAAAGCACATTGTTGCCTTGATTAAATTTATATTCTGAATTCTACTTTGTTTTGGCCAAAATGGAAAATACAGATAGTCCTAGAGTTACAGCCATAATTGCTCGTAGTTATTAAGTGAACCACTGCACTAAAGTGAATCATGTAGTTGTTAAGCGAAACTGGCTTCCCCCATTGACTTTGCTTGTCAGAAATCAGCTGGAAAAGATTGCAAATGGTTATCATATGACTCCAGAATGCTGCAATAGTCATAAGTACATGCTGGTTGCCAAGCATCAAATTTTGATCACATAATCATGGAGATGCTGCAACTATCATTAAGTGCGAGGAATAGTTGTAAGACACTTTTTTTAATGCCATTGTCACTAATGGTCACTAAATGAATTATTGTAAATCAAGGACTACCTTAGAACTAGAATAGTCATTAAATATAAAACAGTATGTGCATAGCAGCAATAGTCTTTACAATAAACAATTAAACAAACATTAAAAGCAGGAGCAGATCAAATGGATCAATTCATCAGACCAAAGACTTTCACAGGCTATAATAGCTATTAAGAAGGGAAGGGAAAGGGATCTGATCTGGATTAGGAGCTCAGCATTGGAAATTGGAGTTAGAGTTAAATCCTGCACTGTATGCTTTTAAAAATATAACTATAAGAATCAATATACTGCAAGAATTAGAATCATTTTTCAAATGAAATGTCAAAGTTTGTTACTCCTAAGGTAAAGAAATCAATATTTTTACTAATAGTTTTATGTTGGCTGCTGTCTGGGCAGCATATGTGATATTATTTATCTACCTAATCAAATTGAAACCAACTACTTTTCAATTGTATCTGTGCCCCAGTGCATGCGCCCCCTACTCTCTCTGCTTTTGACACGTGATGGCCCGGTGGGCCCGGTGGGCCCGTTTTTGCCCTCCCCCAGCTCCCGAGGCTTTCTTGGAGCCTGGGGAGAGCGAAAACGGCCTCCCCCACTGGAGGCCCTCCAGAGACCAGAAACAGCCTATTTGCTGACTGCCAGTGGGCCCAGTAGGCCTGTTTTTTCACTCTCCCCAGGCTCCAGAGCCTTTGTAGGAGCCTGGGGAGGGCAAAAACGGCCTTCTCCCTCCCGGAGGCCGGAAATGGCCCATTTGCCGACTTCTGGAAGGACCGAAAATCAGCTGGCTGGGCAATGCTCACGTGCCCACCGATATGGCTCCATGTGCCACCTGTGGCACACGTGCCATAGGTTCGCCATCACTGACCTAGGTCCTTGACAAAGTGAGGTTCATCAGGTAGATCAATGCCACCTAGCTTATACTTGACATTCTGATTACATTTACCAGTATGTAAGACAGAGCATTTATTGATCAAAATTTGAAGTTGTCAAATAGATGACCATTCAGTATATTCCATCGAACTATTTCAAACAGGAAATTTAAAATGTGATAATATGTAAGCAGAAAAAATGTATTAAGCCTGTGCTATTTTCGCAGCCTCACCAATCCCACTGATTTCGAAGAGAGCTTTCTAGTTTAAAGAATCAAAAGGCAGTCACTCTTCAGATGAAAAATACCCTACACTGTAGCCCTGAACTGCATGGTTCCAATTTCCACATCGTTTTGCACATTCCGGTTTCAACTGAACTCAACATGCAAGCGTGAAATTGGCTGGATAATAAGACCTCAGGAGGTTTAACTTTCAAGATTTCCTAATCAGCATTTTGAAAAAGAAAGCCATGTTTCTCTTCAATAAGTAGGAGTGACTCTCGGGAGGGAGGGAGGGAGGGAGGGAGGGAGGAAGGAAGGATGGATTTTTAAAGAAGGATGCTCTTACATACATTTCAATCTATATTTTCATCCACTAGCACATAGTACTGAAATAAGAATCTTGCTTATTCCTTAAGCAAATACACAAACCCAATACTCAAAGAAGGAAAAAAACAGAGTCATTTCCCACAATATAAGGACTACAACAATCACTACGTTGGACAGAAATGTAGAAGACTTCCGGACTGTACCCATAAACATCAACTGGCAACAGAAAAACATAACAAAAACTCCATTTCTGCAACATATGGACAGTTCAACCACAGTTTCAACCAGAAATTTAAATTTTTAGATCAAGTCAAATCTAAATCTAACTGCTAAGGAATTTGTGGTAGCTTGGTTTTCAGACAAATCAGCTATCAGCGGTCACACAGAAATAAACACCTATAAATACCATTTAAAAGACAGAAC